CGAAATCCGCGATGCTCCCATGATCAACTGATGGATTCTCAGTGAGGAGGGGGGGGGGGAGGGGGCAGCTTCATATCAGGAGCTCGTGCGTTCGACAGTGGATTTGGATTGACTGGAGAGGGCATCAGAAAGGGCGGGAGGGAAGCGCGGCACTCCAATGAAAACAACATAATTGCATCAGAAATTTGATCTTAAAAAACGAAAGGTAAAAGAACAACCGAACAAGAAAAAGCCAGTAGACAAAACATCCGAAAAAATAAACAGGAAACTTGTAGCCTGAATCTAATTAGGCCCGCCCATCTTTGTTCGCTCGCTCGCTTCCTTGTGCATTTGATCGACAACAAAATCCCTATTTGCCGCTCGCTGCGTCCCAATGCCGTTGCTTCGCACAACACAAACGAGCCAGCGAGCGAACCGCTGATGGTCCGGCCCAAGTAGTTAAGATCCGTTTTTTCTATTTTGTTTTTGTTACGGTTTTCTCTGATTTTTCCTTTTATTTTTTTCTTTGCTTGTTCTTCCTTTCCTTTTTCTTTTGTGTTTTCCTTTTCTTCTCTTAGGTAGAAAATTTTAAAAAATGTTAATGTATTTTAAGAAGTGTTCACAATATTATAGAATGATTAAATATAAATTTTAAAAATGTTTACCATTCAAATTTTGTTCATATATTTCTAAACTATTTGGAAAATACAATGAACATTCACGTTTTAAATTTTTTTGGGAAATTCTAAAAAAAATTCCAAAATTTATTCGTGTCTCTGAAAAAATGTTTGAGTTTAAGAAATAGGTAAGAAATTTAAACAATGATTATGTCTTTTAAAAAATTGCTCTATTTTTTCCCCAAAAATGACCACTACAGTATCATGCTAGAATACTACTTCTTCTCAAATTTAACATATGTCATTTTTTAACGTTGTCATGGACTCTATAAACGTATTGGAGAAGGTTATAGCGGGAGTAGTTGCTACATTGCGTTGGGTATCACCAGGGTTTTATTAACTCAAAACAACGTTTGGGATACAAGCGGTTTCAGGTGGGTATGTAACCCACAGGTGGCACCCAAATCTAGCGATAAAGCAGCTTTTGCTAGGCAGTGAGCTTCTTCATGTGATTCTCTCATCTCATGCTTTACCCCTAACATCTTCAAAGGACGACATATTTGCTTTAATATCCTTTATTTATGGTCATTGAACTTGGTCCTGCATTCAGATTATTAACCAGTGTTTAGGCACTGCAGCAGTACTTTGTTTATGGGCCAGTGGCCCGGCGGCTGCTCCTATTCGGCTCGCACCTGTTAGACACCTGTTAGACACGGCGAGCGTCACATAAGATGTCTCGTAGACAAATCGAGGCAACGAGCGTCATATAGGAAATACGAGATTCACGGTTAGCTACTATCTTCGGAAAAGGCAACAAAACTTGGGCAGGCCCTAGGCCTATAGCCAATGCCTTGTTTCATATACTCCCTCTGATTTATATTAATTGTTGCTGATTTAACATGGAACAAAGAGAGAAGTATGTTCGTCCTCGAAACAAAGAAGTTGACTATTCTATCCTCACAAAAGAAAAAAAAATATTGTCAAACATATTTTCTCAATAAAGTTTTTCAATAGAATTTTTTTATGGAATCATCAGTCATCATTATTTCCATTATTACATTGGGAAACGCTATTACATTATAGACTTAACCATCGGAGTAAATTGAATCCCAATCGCCTCTATGGGCAGAAGGTGACTTGGTAGTCTGATCGGACGGTGCAGGTGAAGGTGCTGTTCTTCTCGTAGGCGTAGCTGTAGGCGTCTGGACAGTGCCCCTTGAAGAAGCGCGAGTAGTCCGTCGGCCCACAGGTCGACGGCATAAGCGGCGGCGTGCAGCAGTACTGGGGGGTGCCGAACTTGATGCACGCACTCACACAGCCTCCGTCCACCTTCAGCTCCGACGGGCACTTTGCGTTGATGTCCGCGGCACAGCTTACCACATGACAGCTGCTGCCGACAGGCCCAAAGCTCATGGGGACGTTGAATCCGTCGGCGATTGAGATGTCATAGAAGTCAGGGCTGCCGCCCTTACCCAGCGTGTACTCGGCGAGTGTCGCGGGTGGCTTAAAACCGGCGGCACAGGACAGCATGCCACCGCAGTCGCCCGTGGTGCACGACCCGCGACCGCTGGCATCGAAGTTGCAGCCGGTGCGCCCCCAAATCCATCCAGACACCATGCCCGGGGAGACTTCAATGGCGGCCAGTTGACCCGGGTCGAGCCTGCTCCCGCTGCGGACCGGGTAGGTGCCTGGCCACACCGTGTAGGGGCACTTGTTGAGTAGGTGGACAGTGAAAGCGTCGGTGGCAGCGATTGCGAGGAGAAGAGCAAGGATGAAGCTGAGTGAAGATGCCATGGTCGTCGTTGTTGTTGTGTTGCCTGTGTAGTGATTAGTGAATGATGGAGGACCGGGGATGCTCATGGATGCTAAATATAGATATCTTTTATATCTGCCTAAATGTGCCCTCTTAAATGCATC